TCACATGTAGTTAATAAATTGATAAAATTTTAATTGGTTTTCAAAAAAGTGGTCCATGACTTTTGGGAGGTGAGTGTTTCTTAACTGACCACACCTAGCTAGGGTTTCCACTATTTTTAGGCGTTGGCCTAATCTAAAATAAAATAAAGAAAATAAGATTAAAAGAGATTACACACACTATACTTATCAAAGGCGTCCCCCTGGTAAGATAGTAATTAATTAATAATTAGGTTAGGATTAAAGGTTTATATGGTTTAGGAAGCAGGTGGATAATTCCACTGGCAATAGATTATTTTAAGAGATATTTATGTTTGTATTTTATTAATAAGATATTATTGTTATTACAAGATAGTAGTTAAGAATGAATTAACTGATTAACTGATTATATGAAAGAGAAATTTACAATGTATTTATACATGTTAAAGGTTCTATCATCTAGTTATCCGACTTCGTTGAAATCCTAATTTATACTAATTAAATATTGTTCTGAGACTTTGTAATCTGTTACACTTTAGAATGTTGGAATATTTATATCTCCAATATTTGGGTTATTTTCCGAGGGCTATTTATTTGATTGGTGCGCCTTATTAATTAATGTAACATTTATTAAATTGTACTGGTTTATTTCTTGTTGAGTTATTCCGTGATAATCGTTTCCCAATTTTCACTTCGTGATACATGTAAATCATTTCCGATTTATATGTTCGTTTCCCGTGATTTATAATTTACTATTTTACAATAAATAAAATTAATTAATCCTCATTTAAATTGATTTGTAGATTCTTCAGTACTACTTTCTTCTCTTATATCATCACTGATTTCAATAATATCAGTTGAAGCAAAGGTGGCAATATTCTCATTAACATTAGTTACTTCAGAATCCTCAAATTCTTCATATTCATTTCATTTCAAAAAAAAATTGAATTCATCCTCATCCTCTGCATCTATAAAACCTTCATATTCATAAATATTAATATTAGAAGAGTCCATTTTTTAATTAAGTTTAAATAAATAAAAAATTTTATTGCAGTGTTAAAAAAAAAATTAATACAAAATGATCGGCAAAGTAAATTTTTTTTGTACCTTTACTTTGCACGATCATTTATCACCAAGAACAATATGTAACACTTTGTTTTTTCTTTAATGGGTTAATGATACAATCTCAAAAATCATTTTTTAATTAGGAAATTATGTGTAAAAACTGCATGATAAAAATCTTTGTGTCTTACAACAAATTTGCAGCATATATGCTGCAAAAACAGTTTAAGGGATAAAAGAGAAAGAAATTCTGGAAAATTTCAAAAATTTAAATTATAAAATAAATTTAAATCAAATAAAAATTCTAAATAATAACAATGCCTAAAAATGCTCAAAATAAAGGTCCTTGCGAAATAATTGATTGTCTGAGTATTATTGATACTAATAGATTTAGAACAATTACTGATACTGCATTGGAAAAGTTGCAAGAACATCCAGATTATACAAATTTTAATTATTTAAAGCTTAATGATCAACTTTGCCATCCTCATTATATGAAATATGTTGAATCAACAAAATGTAGAAGATTAAACTTAAAAGATTCTAATAAAGATAGCATTGAAAAAAAAAGCAAATGATAATTTTTTTGTAGAAGATATTAAAATTAATATCAAAATTACTGAAAATGGTGTTCTCTTATCTGAGGAAGATTTTAAATTATTAGTTCAAAAAATTGATGATATGGAATTTACAATTGAAAAAAACCAAAATGAAATTGAACATCTACTTCAGTCAGGGTTTTTACCAAATTTGGAAATCGATTCTAGAATGATCTACATAATTTTAATAGGCTCTTGTGCATTCATTTCCGTTGTAAAAACTTATGTTTCATGTGA